TCAGCAGAAATGTGTCCTAAGCGCTTGATTTCAGGCACATTGGAGGCCAACCGTAACAATACCTAGGTCCCCCAGTAGTGCCCTTTTAACCTTTTTTGGGGGGAGGGTTCCCCTACTGAAATAGACTACAGAGTACCCTTATTTTAACCTCTCCACTGGAGGACCTAGATACCCCAGATGACAACCTAGCGGTTGCCCCGAACAAAGTCCTTCTCTCTGTACTGTAGCATCCGGTTGATGAATCGTGGGTTCCCAATGCTGGGAACGCTGGTATCAATTTAGGCTGCCATTCGTGAGGTTTAACGACAGGCACCACACTTCGCCACAGTCATCACAACAGAAACCTTCTCACTTGCAATTGCTCGTTCTGGTCTTTCCACTCCATGAAACATGAAACTTCTTGCTGCTTAATGGTGCAACCATGCAATTTAAGCCTGAGTCTCAAAAGTAGAACTCAAGTTATCAAGTCACTCCTTGCCACTGGACGATGCACCCAAGTAATCAATGCCGGTGTTCCGATGAAGGAAGCATTTTCACTGGACAATGTCACCTGTTACATCCAGCTATCCCCTTCCCTCATATACTCAGGCAAACAAGATATTGTTGTGTGCTGGCGCATGTTTACTCGACATGCTTATTGAGACCTCGAAAAAGCCATGTCCAATCCTCCAGAGCTTGTCGATTGATAAAAGCTGATCTGGCCAAGATACGTAGCTTGTGTTTTCCTCGGCTTCCTTCTGTTTCCTCTGGCTCTCAACAATTCCTTGCTTATCCTTTCGTTCTTCCCTGCTTCTCCTTTGGTTTTGCTTGACGTATTTGGCTTTCCCTTGCTGTGCGTTTTCAAGTCTTCCTTTGGCGTTTCAGCGCGTTTCCCTGTTTTCTTTTGGCGTTGCTCGCGTGTTTTTGCTCTTTAGCGAAACTATCCAATCCCGGAGGGTCCAAGTAGCAGATTTATGGATTCGGAGATGGACACATTGAAACCAACCCCCCACCGAAAATACAGAAGCCAACCTCAATCTACTCGTAAAGAAAGGAACTCACCAACCATTTGGTTGGGTTTCAGCTCACCCCGTGTTTAAGGGTGCCTGGACCCTCAACATACCCTTCAGAATTGGGTATTGCAGCCCAACATCATGGTTGATGATGTCCAACTTGTTTATGGGCAGCTCTTTCGGGTCCAGGTCCATGCTTTGGGTAAGGTTCGGAGAGGCTGGGGACAGTCCAGGTCCTTCAAATACCCAGATCATGTTTAGGGTATTACTGGGACCTGGAGTCTCCGTGACCCTTGAAAAGGGTCAATGACCCCATTATTTTGAGTAATGACCAACCATTTTTCAAAGGTCAGAACAAGACTCCAGGGAAACAGCCAGGTTTTGAGACCCCCAAACACCTCTGGGGTGTACAAAAACTGGCTGTTTGAGGGCCTAAATGAATTGGGAGCCTCTGGGTAGGGTGTTACTAGGACCCACTCTGAAGAGGGAACTCATCATCCCCTGCCCTCCCCTTCTCGTGCTCGGCCAGGCGTTGTTGGAGAAGGGCGCCAAAGAGGGCCGGAGCCCTACGTTGAAGGCTACGTTGAAGGCGTTGCCCCGTTCCGTTTTTCCTCGGCTTTGTTTAAAGGTTCCGCTGGGTGGTTGAGAGTGGCAACTATCAGTTTGAAGGGTTCTCAAGCTTACTTTTGCGGATGCTCTGCCCTTTGACGGCTTGTCAAGCTTTATGGGCAGGGGGTTATAGCCATCAACCTCAGGAATTTCCTACTTTCCGGGTCTTGGAGACGGCGCTGGCGCTTGACTCATTGTTTGAGCCCTTTTAGTTAGGCAGTCACCATGGCTGGAATTGACAGTTACTCACACCCATCTCGTTGACACATTTTTTTGAGGATCCCTTATCGCTGCCTTTTTGTCGCTGCCGCATAAAGGGGGCCTTTTCCCCCGGAGGCCTTTGTGCCAAAGAGGCCGGCCAGGACTTCCAGATCAAGTTCGCCAAGACCCGACCTGGACGCGCAGAAACTACCCATGAAAAAGGGGAATGCACCAATTCCCTACTCACCCCCTTTTTAGGTTGGTATGTTTGAGGGTTCAGGAACATATTTTGGACTGGTTGACCAACTTCCAGTATAATTCGGCAGTTTGGCTTCTTACGAACTCGCCTGATGCCATCGCAATACGGGCAAGGACGCCCTGTGGCGGACTCCCAACGGGTTGGCTCATTTGGCATGGGGTTTCCGTGTTTGTGTTCGGTTTCAGGCGAACCAACACAGGATATTTGGGGTTTTGCAACTTAGTGGTGGTTGCATTTTGGGCTTCAACATTTGAAACTGCAGCCTAGCCCCGTCTCGTTAATCCAGTCCCCCTAATAATTTAGGGTCCCCCTGTTTTTGGCCAGAACTGTTTCAGATTGGCCTCGTCACTTTAAAACATGGTTCTACCTATTTTATGGTGAGCTCACCAATCTGGGGTATAACGAGTGAAAGCCATGACAAAGGTTCTTTACTTGGGCAACCCCTTATCATATGGTTCAAATAGCGGTGTAAGAACCTTATCATATGGTATACGATACAGTCAACAAGCTTATCATATGGTAGAACGAGCGAAAGCCGTGTAACAACTTGCAGATGCCTGGAGTCTCCATGACCCTCTTAAAATGGGTCAATGACCAACCATTATTTTGGGTAATGACCAACCATTTTTCATTCGGGTCAGCAGGAGCCTCTAGGAGTGGTCTGCAACGGGCAAATGGTTTCCATCACGAGCCTTCCGGCACCCACTCAGTGAGAACATTTCTGGGGTGTCCAATGCTTCGGGGTTGGGTCTTCATTGAAAGCCGAAGCCAGGAGCCTTTGTCAAAATCAAGCAACGAGAAGGATGCCTTCCTTCACCCAAAAGACCTATACCCTAAAAATACATTCCTTGTTTGCATTCCTTATGGTTCTGGGTAGAGTATGTTACTACCGGGTTTTGACCCATGGCCATGTAACAACTTGCAGATGGTTAAATAATAAGTTGTCAAGAATGCACTTTACCCCCAGCAACAGTGACTGAAAAAAGCGATCGCAACTTGGCTATCTAGGTATGTATTTCTCTCTAACCACGAAAAGGGTGTCCCCAATGAGGGTGTCCCCGAAACAGCAACTTGGCTATCTAACTGGTTCTCCAAATTGGACTCAGAAGGTGGTCACTCGCTTGGCGCGCCGCCGGGCCCCTGTCCGAGGCGAGGGCGACGGCGGCCGGGCGCTGTCGGAGGCGCTGCGCAGCTCGCACAACTCCGCGGCGCGGGCGCTGCCGGGGGCTCGGGGACGCCCAGCGGGGCGCGAGAGCCGGGGGTTGGGGGGAGGGGGGACGTGCTTCTTTTTCTGATCATATATGTTTGTTTTGTTGGTTCTTGTTTTTGAAGTTGGTTGGGTTGCTTTTTTTTGGTTGGGTTTGTTAGGGGGGTAAACTTGTTTGTTTGTTCCTTGTGTTCTTTTGTTGTTGTTTGTTTTTTGCTTTGTGTTTTGTGTTTTTTGTTCTTCTTCTTTTTGTCGGTTTTTCTCCTTGTTGTTTGCTCTTTGTGTTCTTTGTTGGGTTTGTTGGGGGGGGGTACAGGGGGTTGGGGAAGTCGCTTTGGGGTTATTTCGTTACATGCTGTTGTTTGTGGTTGCTTTTTTTTTTTTTGGGGGGGGGGTGTTGGTGGGTTTTAAGTGGCTTTTTGGCTGCCTGGAGGTGTTGGCTTGGGGTGCTTAGGATAGGGGACCAAAAGGGAAGGGTCTCAGTTTCTTGAACCCTCCACAAAGGTTCCGCCTTTGCGGGTGACATGATTACGATTCATTTAGGGGGGCCAGAATCTGCGAACCTTCAGGGACTGCGCAGACTCTCAGTTCTCAAAACTGTGGGCTCGTGGCTTCGCTTCGAGAAAACGGGCACCGTTTGTACCTAGACCCGAAGAAACTCGCCGGAAGAGAAGATAAGAATTCACCAGCCATGGTTGTGGCTTGCAATAGCCCATTTTCAAGCCGGAGTTTTGAGGATTAATTCGCCCAGTTTGCGGTCATTTGCGTGGTCAGCCCGATTCACTTTCTACGGCAACTAGGGATGCACGCGTGAACCTGAAGGTGGCAGAGCAAGTCAACTGGAAGTTTTGCCAGAGATCTGAGCATCGACATGCCAAGTGATGGCTCTTTGGCGTGTTTCTTTGGCAGACTTTCAGTTTTGACCAAATGAGCAGGGGGTTTGGTCTCATGTGCCTACCAATGGGTTGACGAGCAGATGTGCAACTTGAGGCTGTCCGTGCACCGGCCAGTTGTGTTTAAGTTGCACTGGAGCGGTGGCACCTTCAATGAGCCCACCAAAGCCCACAGTCGCAAGTCCACCATGGGTTAGAACAAGGGTTGCTGACCATATATGGGTGGCTCGGCTTTTGAGCTTACCCCTTTTTGGGAAAAAGCGGAAACCAGGAGGAGAACCACATTTTTGGTGTCCCCGAACACAAGACACACCCATATGAAGGATGTCTGGCCCATTCAAGTCCGGAACTGGGTGTTTCAAGAAACAAGCCACAAAATGATGTCCTGGCAAGTGGTTACTAACCACATACCTGATGTGTCCTGCTCCTTGAAGCACGTCCAGGTTTGGCTTCATGGGCAGAGCTGGAGGAACCCATGGCCGAATGTGCTTTGGCACCTATGGCTCAAGGTAGACGCATGGGAAGAATGCTAAAAGCACACATGGCCAGTGACCCCAATCTGCAAATTCAGGTTCGGGTATAGTGGTAGTTGAGTCGTTTGTCTCTTTGTTATGTACTGTGTTTTGACTTGATCGTGGCTTGGTACCAAATGATGGGCATGCGGCATAAGAAACAAGCGTGGTGAATATTTTGGCTACGTCGACTCTTGCACCCGCACGCCGTTATCGTTGGAATGATCGGACAGATTGTTGTGTTTTGTTTGCCGTATTTTTAGGCATTACCTTTGGTTGCCACCTGGATTCGCCAGTTTCTTCTTGTAGAGTTCCGGAAAAGCTGCTCCCAGTTGCCACCTGGTGCGTGGGGAACCGCTGACTCACCTCCCACCAACGCGGCACGGTGTGCGACGGACCGCGCCGTGTGGGGCCATGGCCATGTGGGTGGAGGCGCTGTTTGGCGGGGTGGGAGCCATCTGCGGCTCGGCGAATGAAAGCCGCGGTCCAACCGCGCGGGGTTCGGGGAGGGGGGGGCAGCCACTGCTTTGCTCCCTGCCCTCCCTTACAAAAGTGGCTTCCTTGCTGGCTGAGAGGGGTTTTGGAAACCTGGGCAAGTCCTGCGGGGAGCTTTGCACGGGCGTAAGATCCCGGAGACATGGGAAAGCCAAAGCCATGTTAAGCAGAGCCCCCTTCTTTTTTTTTTAGATGCAATCTATCACTATTGGCATATGTGCTATTCAAATAAGAAAAACTATTTGTGTTTGCCCCAAGGGCAAAGAAGCAAATCGAGGTTTGAAGATGCTGTTTGGGCGCTTCGTTTTGTTGGGCATTCCCAACTTTGAACTGGCAACCCCTCGCCATTTGTCCGAAGTCAGCCTGGGGCCCATGGCCAGAACTGTCCGTTTCCCGCAGATGTGAGGCCCATTGAAGCCACCTCTGTTGTTTTGGGTTTCGGACCTCAAAAAAGCAGATGCCTTCTTAGATCTTGGGGACCCTTATGGTGATTGGCCCAGTGGATCTCAGGCTATAGCAGGTACCCAAGCCTTTCTCCTTGTTGCTTTGCTAAAACGGGTTCCTTTGTTTACCTATGCGCGCATTTTTTGTGTTTCGTCGGAACCCCCCCCCTTTTTGGTTGGTTCAGAAAGGTTAGATTAAAAAGGAACACCGAGGCCATGAATGGGGGGGTCCAACCTCAAGAGATGTGCCGCCCATCCGAGGCTTTGCTCTCATGATGGTGCCTTGGCAACGTCGGACTCGGATTCGGAAAGCTGCCTCCAATGGGTGTGTCCTTACCTGTTTGCCGAGGGTACAGCAAAACTCAGCATTTGGGGGGGTCCCCCAAAAAATAGAGCCAGAGTGGGCTTTTGTGATTTTGCGGGTCCTTTTGGAGTTGATTTAAAGGGAAACCAGAAGGAACCCACCCTTCAAACCAGTACCGCTATTTTGACACATATATATATATATATATGTATACGATGTTATGCAAAAATATAATATGTTATACACATATTGTGTTTTTTTTTGGGGCAGGCTCGATATGAGAATCTGACCTCTGGCTTTCTGTGTGGTTTCGCCAGTAGAGCCTGGTGTGCCGAGGTTTCAGTAGAATAGACCCCGCAATGGGCTCAGGTTTTCTTTGGCTTCCCTGCCAAAAAGCCGGCCTGGACCCGTTAGAACTAACGTTAGACCTGGGATTTCGGCATTTTTTTCGGGCTGTAACCCATGTGTCAGCTGGAATTTTGAGGGTTCAGGAACCTTAACAAGGGGTTCCTTAAGAAGCACATATGCCTGACAGCCCCGAAAGCCTCTACCGAATCTCTGGAAGGCTCCCTGAAAGCTGCCGCAAACCACCCCGATTGAGCCTATTTGGGCCCATCCACCCCATAGCTTTCAGCCGTTGATTGGACGAACAAATCACCTAGTTAGCCAAGTTGCTGCTTTTTTAAGTCACTGTTGCGATCGGTTTTGGGGGTTTCCAGTGCATGGAAAAAAGCAACAACTGGCGATCCAGGCACCTGCCAATCCCCTTTGTGGGTTTCCACGAGCCCTTTGAAGTGTCCGCTGTCCACAGTCTGCGAATTACAATTTGGGTGTGGCTCAAAATGAACCAGGAGGGGCAAACCGCAGGTTTTGGTCCATGTTTCCACCTAGGGTTCCATTTTGGAATTCCGACTTTTTGAGCCACAGCCATTTGAACTTGTGGGTTTATTCCCCCCCCCCCCCCGGCAGGTAAACCCAGAAGTTTAACCTTGGCCAAAAGGAGTTTTATGGGAGCGAGGGTCCAAGAATTGAGCGAAGCATAGGAACCCCCCCCCCTCCGCCCCAGGTCTAGGTTTCCCTTTGTGCATCTTCCCTGGCTACAAAGATTGATTTATGTGTTCCTTGCAAATTGACCTAGAGCCCCCAAATTGATATACACCCCAGGTTCTTCCACATTCTCAGGATTTCATGTCAGGTTTGATGTCCCAGACTGCCAGTGGCTTGCTTTCTGTTTCCCTTTCCCTTTGGAGGGGTTTCCCTTTAGAATCGACCAAACAAAACGAGCGCCGATTTGTTGCGTATGCACCTCCATGACTTTTTTTCTGCCCCCAGCCACGGGTTTGTGCCCCCCCCCCTCCCCCACCTCCCCCCTCCTCCCCCCCCCTCCCCCAAAAAATAGTAAAAGGAGAATTCAAAGAATTATTCTTTCTACTATTTTTTTCCAACAGCAACACAACAAACAGAAAACAAAATCCAGAACAACAAGCAAACAAAATAAATAATCACAACCAACAACAAAAATATTTAATCACAGCATACAACATTAAATAATTCAAGCAAGCATACCAACAAAACAGCAACACTCTAAACCATCAAAGACACTCAACTCAAAAACACACATCAACAAAAAACAAAGCAACATACCAACAAAAAATATCACAAGAGTATCAAACAAAATAAAAACAAACAGCCAAAGCACGAAAAAACTGAAGAAGCATACCAAGTCTAAACAACGCACTTTGAAAGAGATAAGCAAATTAGGAAAATATAATATTTCAATCTTTACAAACAATAAATATATTACAATTATAACATCTAATATTTCACATGTTATTATTATAATATGATTAAACCTATTTTCAGTGTTTCCAGTCTCCTATGTTGTTCCAAGAACTGCTTAAAATGTTTCTGATATTATACCAGATTAAGGTAACGTCATAATCTTTCATTGGTGCTCTTTGTTGTATTAAATAACGTAACACTGATATCAAAGTATGGTAATTAAACTGCATTGCTGTCATTCCTCCTCTTTCATTAATACTATTACCATTATGTTTAACGAGTTCTTCTTTCATTATGTTTTCGTAAATCTCTTTTATCCATTGATGATTTTGTTCTCCATACTCAGCGAACATATCTAGATATATATCTTCCATTGTTTTATCGTTTTTAATTATTTCAATGACTTGTTTATACGATGGATAGGGATTATCCTTAATGAAACTCAATATTATCTTTCTATCCTGTTCCAGCTCTTTTTCTGTCACTCCTATCATTGGCATTTTCCTCTTATTATATTAAGTCTTTATTCCTTTAAGTCATTTTACACTATAATTATAACATATAAGGGTATAAATGTTATTATTATAGTATGGTTTTACTCATTATGGATTGAATTGAACCACCGAAATGAGCCACATGAGGCAGTGGCAGGCTGTGTGAGCATGTGATGAAACCCTTCCCCCACAAAGGGGAAACCCTTCCCCCTTTCCCCCTAAAAGGGGAAGCCCTTCCCCCAAAAAGGGGAAGCCCTTCCCCCAAAAAGGGGAAGCCCTTCCCCCAAAAAGGGGAAGCCCCTTCCCCCTAATTCAAACTCACCAAGATTTCACAAATTAATTCGCTAGGTATTTTATATAGGTCTTCTTGCTGAATAATTCTAATGAATTGATATTATTAGAATTGCTTAGATATTAATTATTCAAATAATGCATATACTCCATCATCATTTTTTGAAATTTTATAATAGTCTAATGTTTGTTGCTTTGGTTGCTTGATTTTTCCTGTATTCAACATATCACAATATTTCTTTTGCTTTGTAGGATAATCACCCGTTGGTCTTCCTATAGATTTTGCTTGAAATATCTTTTCGATTTTTTCTTTATCTTCATTGCGTTCAACTGGTTTCATTTTGTCATCAATGGATTTAATCATATCATTTAAGGTTTTGATATTTTTACCAATTAATGTTATCTTCTTCATTAAATCATGAATAGTATAATTCTCATTTTCAGACATTACTATATATTTATTTAGATAGTTATTTATTTAATTATACAATTTACCTGAATACTTTAATGTTATATATGTAAATAAATTATATTCTAAGAGTCTTTCATCATTTTTTTTTCATTTGTATTAAACCTTCCTCGTCACCTGTAATTTCAATAAAAATCAATATTTTTCCAAAGTTATCTGGTTTAGTTATACCTTTCATAAAATATTTATCACTGAATTTAGCATCAAACCAATAAAATATTCTTCGCTCAATTGTTTAGCAAAGTTTTCATCACCATTGAATAGGTCTTTAATTTCTTCATCGTCAAAAGTTATAACTCTACGGTCTTCTCCATTCATAGTTGGCATTATGATTATATAAATAATTAGATATGTATTTATGTATTTATTTATTTAATTATATATATTTATAAAGTGCAATTATGTTAAATCTACTCTTTAAATACTAATTGTTCATCATTTGTTTAATAGTTTCCTGCGTTTCATTATCACCATTTTCCGAGAGTGATGCATCCTTACCCCATTTAAAAGTTATACTATGAACATCAGTTTCTAAATTATTACTGTCTTTGGTTTTATCAATATTCATTTTCTTATCATTTTTAGATATTTTGAAACTTGTTGGAATACATGAACATTTACAATGTCCTTTCTTTTGTATTTCTAATTCATTTTTCATTTCTAACATCTTTTTACACATTGGACAAGAAAACTCAATTACTGCTGTTTCTTTAACCATTTCTCCGCTATCTTCATCTGTTGAAGAAACACTTAAACCTGTCTTATTCTTTTTGTTTTTCTTCTTTTTTACCATTTATATTAATATTTACATTTTTATGTTTGATACATTCTATTCCTAGCTTAAGTATGTTTAAAACAAAATAGCATACTTTCTTACATTTATTATCAGTTATTATTACTTGTTCTATATTTTCTACTTCATCTATTATATTAATATAATTTGAATAACTCCTATTCATATAAATAATAAGATAAACTAGTTATTTAATCTTATTATTTTCATGCATAATAGAATATTGGTGGGGCACAGCACTTGGGGCTTTTCTTTACAATGCATCAAACTAATTAGCTTCAATGCTTATTGATTGAATCAATGGAAAACCTGTTCCATTTTTATGATATTCGCCACCAGCATATCATAAAAACGATATTCCATTTAATATTAAATAGAATATGTATTTAAACTATTTTCTTTAGTAAGTTTTATTGCAGTTGATAGACTCAAATCTTTAATATTAATATCAATAACTTCTTCTACACTATTAATCATTTCATTTGTATACATATCGGGATAATCTTTCATAAAAAATACTAACTTTCTAAAATTAAAATCTAGGTTATTGTCACTTTCAATTGATGATTTGGATACTATAACATTTTGTTTTTTTATTTGTGATAAAAAGCATAACATCGTATCATAATATATTTGTTCAGTGTAGGGGACTAAGATATCACCAAATTTATACATAATCCAAATACTAGCCACCTCACTTAAATTAACAGATTCTATTGCCATTATGATATAATTATATTATGTGTTTTTATTTCTAAGTATTTATAATATTATTTTATGATTGATATCAAACCGTACAAAACTAAAGAATATAATAGTAAACAATCTCGACATGATCATGTAGGTAAGCTACCAGCAAGACAAATATTCGCAGCTCCATCGGGCGTTGGTAAAACGGTAACACTAACTAATTTGATATTAAATGTTTATCGTGATTGTTTTGAAAAATATTTATTTTTAGTCCAACAATACATTTAGATAATAATTGGGATACAGTAAAAGATTATGTATCAAATAAATTGAAAATAAATCATACTGAAGACGATCCTGTATATTTTGATACATTTAACGAAGAACAAATGAAAAATATTATTGATACTCAAGAAAAACTAGTAAAATATATGAAAGATAAAGGTTTTTCAAAC